ATTCCACTTCCTAGATCAATGAAAATCCATCTTCACACAGTGACTTGTACAGGAATGTTCACAGCAGCTTTATCCATAATAACTTGAGGTGGAGACAACCCAAATGTGCATCAGATAAAAAATTGTGATATATATTCTTGCACTAGAATACTTACCCTCAGTAAAAAGGAACTGATATACACAAAATATGAAGAAACCTCAGAAAGCATGCTGAATGAAAGAAGGCAGACACAAGAGTACGTACTATATGATTCCATTTACATGAAACCCTAAGAAAGTCCATTTAATCTATAGTGACAGAAAGCAGAAAAGAAGAGAAAGGGGTATGTATGGACACGCTTGGGAAACAGAAAAATATGCTCCAAAATATTAAAGTACTTGGCTCACTGGGAGGTGGTGGATGTTAGGGAGCATTATAAATGACCTTGACCTTATACAATTCTGTATTTTACAAACTTCACAATCTGGTTCAACTACTCTACTCCTAAGTACACACCCAAGACAAATGAAAACCTATGTCCACATAAAAACTATACACAGATTTCATAGCAGCATTATTCATAATAGCCAAAAAAAGTGAAAACAAGGGAAACCTGGGTGGCTCAGTTGGTTAAGCCACTGCCTTTGGCTCAGGTCATGATCCTGGGGTCCTGGGATCAAGTCCCGCATCGGGCTCCTTGCTTAGCAGGGAGCCTGCTTCCTCCTCTCTCTCTGCCTGCCTCTCTGCCTGCTTCTGCACTCTCTCTCTCTGACAAATAAATAAAATCTTAAAAAAAAAATAAAAAAGTGAAAACAACCCAAATGTCCATCAACTGACAAATGAATGAATAAAATGTGTTTTTATCCACATGGGGGATTATTTGGCAATAAAAAAATGAACTACTGCTATAAATGATCTTTGAAAACACGATGCTAAGTGATAAAAAGCCATCAGATCAAAAATATTTACTACAAATATGACAGAGGATTAATAGAAAGGTCTCATTCTAGCTAGGAAAAGGAAAGAAAAAGAGAACCCAGTTGTTAAAACCAAAGGAAATGAAGACAATTGCTCTGAGGGAGCTAAGAGTAAACAGACACGGAAGGGTAACAAGGCTTGTCATTGCTAGTCGGCAAAGATACGCAAATTAAAGCAACAGCATTCCGAACTTTGGCACAACGATTAACAACCTGCATGCTTGCTTTGGGTTCTTGACCCTCACTTGCTTCAGCAAATAGAACTGGTTTCCCGTTCTTTCATTTACAGAGAGCTAAATTAGTGCTCAAATATAATAACCTCATGATCTACACGAAGTTAAAATTATCTCCCATCTTTTTTCTCCTTTTTTCCCCACCTCACATCCCATATGTTCTCCAGAAAAAGAAAGTTACTGAACATGTATACAAACACACTGACTCAATCCAATAATGATAATATTAATAATAATTATTATTATTTTAAGTAAGCAAGTTATAAATCTATAAAGCATACATAAATGAACTTTTTAACCTATAAGCTACCAGATGTCTCATGATTCCTTCAGGCATGGTTTAGCTGGCCCATCTGGTGGCTCTGATGGGGGACACTTGCCCCAACACTCAGAACTTTCCCTGACTCCCCACCCTTGTCTTGCATTCTTCCTGAGACCGCCACCATCATCCCTACATGGGGTTGCTTAATGAATTATTTCTCCTCCCTTCACTTTTGTGCTTCACACAAATTTGCCTCTGATTTGACTCTTGCCACAAAGTCCCCCTCCCTTTATAAAACAAGGTATGCATTGTTTTGTTTTGTTTTTAAAGTGATGTTGTTGGGGCATTTGGTTGGCTCAGCAGGTTAAGCGGCTGCCTTCGACTCAGGTCATGATCATGGTGTCCTGAGATCAAGCACTGCATCGGGCTCCCTGCCCAGTGGAGAGTCTGATTCTCCCTCTGCCTCTGCTCCTACCCTCACTTCTGCTTTGTCTTGCTCTCTGTCGAAAAAATAATAAAATCTTTAAAAATAAACAAACAAGTAAACATGGTGATGCTAAGTTATCCCAAAACCAAACATAACTTAATTATGATCTTTAATGTTAGTATACTAGTACAATCTTATACCACTAAAAGAAGTGGAAAATGACATAAGACTAACAGGTTGTACATTCTTTTTGATTCTGTGAATGTGTGCATGTGGGGGGTGAGCGTGTGAAGATATTCATCACAGTAGCATTGAAAACAGCAAAAAAATGTGCACTCTAAAGATACAGTAACAGGGAACCAGTTAAATTATGAGCCTGCCCTCTTGCAAAGACTAATTAGAATAAGGATAGACCACTGACCTTATCCATTTGCTAGCCAGTGAATGGCCTGGCCAAAAAAAAAAAAAAAAGATAAACCAAATTCACTAGAGTCTTTCTCTCTTAAATAAAGCAATACCAATTGCCAATTGAGAGGGTATTGTTGCTGGAACATCACCTAGAGCAGTGGTTCTCCAACCTTGATGTTCACAAGGCTCACCTCAAGAGCTTATCAAAATACAGGTTGCTGGGCCTGGCGGAGTTTCTGATTCAGTAGTCTAGGGTTGCCCCAAAAATATGCATTTCTTTTTTTTTTTTTTTAAGATTTTATTTATTTGTCAGAGAGAGAGAGAGAGCAACCAGGGAGAGCAACAGGCAGAGGGAAAGGCAGACTCCCCGTTGAGCAGGGAACCAAACACGGGGCTCGATCCCAGGATCCTGGGATCATGACCTGAGCTAAAGGCAGACACTAAACAGACTGAGCCACCCAGGCACCCCAGGACATGCATTTCTTTCTTTCTTTTTTTTTTTTTTTTAAGATTTTATTTATTTATTAGTCAGAGAGAGAGAGGGAGAGCGAGCACAGGCAGACAGAGTGGCAGGCAGAGGCAGAGAGAGAAGCAGGCTCCCTGCTGAGCAAGGAGCCCGATGTGGGACTCGATCCCAGGACGCTGGGATCATGACCTGAGGCGAAGGCAGCCGCTTAACCAACTGAGCCACCCAGGCGTCCCAGGACATGCATTTCTAACAGGCTTCCGGTTGACTCTGATGCTGCTAGCCCAGGCACCACACTTGGAGAACTACCGATCTCGATCTCGACATTACCAAGGTACAGTTGATTCTAGACTACGGGCAGAAGGGGAAAGACAGAGAAGTTCACAGAAGGAACTAAAAACCAACCATGGCTCCTGACTACTTTCCATTTTCCGTGAGCCCATCTATACTTGGGTTCCTGATTTGAGATTCTATGTGACTCTCTTCGTCCTTATGCTCAACTTGAGGGAGTCTCTTTGCAACATAAAAAACGCGCCTAGAACACAGTTGTAAGAATATTCTGTCCTTCAGTGGAGACAAAGTGCAGAATCCCGATTCAATCCCAACCCACCCCCTGTGTAACCAAGGTCATGATTTGGTATGTATACTTCCACATCTTTCTCCAAGCTCCATATACCCCTATATGCAAGTGTTTTACAATGTCTGTTAACAAAAATTAAATGGTTCTGGGGCACCTGGGTGGCTCAGTTGGTTAAGCAACTGTCTTCGGCTCAGGTCAGGATCCTGGAGTCTCAGGATCGAGCCCCACATCAGGCTCCCAGCTCCATGGGAAGTCTGCTTCTCTCTCTGACCTTCTCACCTCTCATGCTCTCTCTCACTGTCTCTCTCAAAAAAAAAAAAAAAAATTAAATGGTTCTGAGTTAGCATTCAGATTCTGCTATAGACTGATATATCCATGGCTTCGACAAGCTGAAGTTTACTTCTCTTTCGCACCACAGTCCCGAGGTGGCTGGTCCGAAACTGGTGAGGAGGTTCTGTGCTCGGAGGTCAACTTAGAATCCCGTCTCTTTCCATCTTGCAGCTCCACCATCCTTGGGGGTCACATCAATCACATTTCCCAGGGTGGTTCACATGATGTCTATATTCTAGTCAATAGGAAAGGGAAAGCGTGGTGGCAGGAGGGCATGCCTTCCCCTTAAAAATAGACTTTCAGAGATGCACAGATCACTTCTAATCATTTCCCCTTGGCCGTAATTCAGATCCATGCACACAACTATCTGCAAAAGAAGCTTGGAAATAGAGTCTTTAGCGGGTCGGTCATGTTCCTGGTTAAAACTGAGAGGTTCTGTTACTGAAGGAAAAAGGGGGGATCTTGAGGAACATTGAACTAGCAATGGTACGCAGACTATACATTATGCTCTGCAATTTGCTTTTTTCATAATATCCCTTCAAGTCAATAAATCCAGCCCCAATTTGCCTTAATGGCTGCCAATCTAACACCTTATTGGATAATTATCATGTTTTTAGTTACTCTTTTATTTGTGGGCCTTCAGGTTAAATCCCTTTTTTTTGTACACATGAAGTTTCTCCAATAAACATGCTCGTTCATAGACTCTTACTTCCTAGAACTTTTGTTTTAGTAGGATGAATTGTCCCCAAAGAGTCAAAAGATATGTGTTTTTTATTTTTATATACATTACCAAATTACTTCCTTAGAAGTCTATAATAACAAGTTATACATTCACCAGCAATGAATGAAAGTCCCCATTCTCTTATATTATCATTAATGATCTTATTTTTGACCCCTGTGAATGGGTGAGAAATTCCACTTCATTGCTCCTTAATTTTTTTCAAAGATTTACTTATTGGGGCACCTAGGTGGCTCAGTCCCTTAAATGTCTGCCTTCAGCTCAGGTCACGATCCCTGGGTTCCCGGAATGGAACCCTATGTCTGGCTCTCTGCTCAGCTGGGAGTCTGCTTCTCTCTCTCCCTTTGCCCTTCCCCCCTGCTCATGCTTTCTCTTGTTCTCTCTCTCTCTCAAATAAATAAATAAATAAATAATAAAAATATTTTTAAGAAAAGATTTATGTATTTGAGAAAGAGATAGTGTTGGGGGGTGGGCAGAAGGAGAGGGAGAGAAAAAGTTAAGCAGACTCTGCATTGAGCCCAGAGCCCTACACGAGCCTGATCCCCGAACCCTGAGATCATAAGCTCAGCTGAAACCAAGAGTCAGGACACTTAACTGACTGTGCCACCCAGGTGCCCCCGTTTTTACCTAAATTTGAATTTCCCTGAGTACAAGTGAGGTTAAGGATATTGTCATATCTTTTTTGATGATTTGCATTTCTTTTTCTGTGTATTGCTGGTTCGTATCTGTATCTATTAGGATCCCAGCAGGAAACAGAGTTCACCTCAGATGGTTCTAATGAAAAGACTGTCATGAAGGCACTAGGCACGGAGCTGCAGGCAGGATGGAAAGGGTAAACACTAGATAAAAAGCCATCAAGGCACCCAGAGACGAAACAGCGGGAAGCTGTTGCTGCCTCTGAGAGCTAAAGAGACCGGACAGGGAACTAGTGTTACCCAGTAAGCCCAGTGAGTACCGAACCATGGAGGGAACGCTCTCCTCTGAGAGCTGTGGAGATGGAAGCCCTTAGCTTCGGCCAGACAGAAATCCCCAGAAGGGGACACATCCCAACTTTTCTCTCGTTCAGCCCTCCAATCTCCCGCCAGTTCTTTGCGTTGGCCAAATCAAAGGGCAAGGCAGCCAGCAAGGATTCCAAGTGACACAGCCCACAGGGCATCTCCCAGGACACAGATGCGGACAAACAGGGTGGAGAAGAGATCTGCAGAACAAACAGAGAAAACAGCATAGTATCTTTTCCCCCTTTTTCTACGGAGTAAGTGTCTTTTCCTTATCGGTCGGTGAGAACTCATCAAACACTAGGGATGTTAATCCGTCGTCTCTAAAATGTATGCAAATGATTTCCACAGTCCACCACCAGCGAATGACACTTACCTGCATTTATTTTTCCTTATAAATCATTTTTATGGCTTTGGAGTCTACCTTACATAAGAGAGTAGCCACCTTCACCTCCGAGGTTTGACAAATCATCTTCTACAATCTCTCCAAAAGTTTCTTTTTGTAACATTTGCACCTTTGCTCCCTTTTGAGTTTATTTTTGTACAGGGCATGAAGTAGAGAGTCTGGCTTTGTTTTCTTCCAGATGAAGAGCCAGTCATGCCAACCATGGTAATCATACTTTCTCCACTGAGATAAAAATCGCAACTTTGTCCTGTAGTCTTAGAATAGATACTGAGATTTACTTCTGAGAGTACTTTTCCCTTGCTTTGAGTGGACGGTGTGCTGGGGAGAAAAGGATAAAAGCACCTAAAAATCTGCAAGGAAGAATCAAGTTCTGAGAAGTGAGGGAATGGCTAAGAAATTCATGGGAAGGGATGCCGGGGTGGCTCAGTCAGTTAAGCATCTGCCTTGGGCTCAGGTCGTGATTCCTGGGTCCTGGGATCAAGCCCCACATCAGGCTCTTTGCTCAGTGGAGAGTCTGCTTCTCCCTCTGCCTGCTGCTCCCCCTGCTTATACTCTCTCTCTCTGACAAATAAATAAATAAAATCTTTTTCTAAAAAACAGAAATTCATGGGAAGAAATTCTTCTGTAGCCTTGATATATCAGATGCTAAAAGTTTCTATAATGCTAATCTATTTTTTTTCTTTTTTTAAGTATGGTGGTGCCTGGGTGATTGAGTGCCCCGCTATTGGTTTCAACTCAGGTCATGATCTCAGGGTTATGAGATCGAGCCTCACATCGGACTCCCCAATCAGCACAGAGTCTGCTTAGGACCCTTTCTTCCTCTCCTTCAGCCCCACCCCTCAGGCACACTCTCTCTCTCTCTCTCTCTCATTCTCTCTCTCCCTCTCTCTCTAAAATAAATAAATAAAATTTTTAAAGTATTTTATGCCAAGAACAGATGAATAAATACTAAATTTGAAAACTTACAGTTATGTTCTATTACTCTGATATAGTAGCTGTTTTTAATACTTTATCTTACATTCCATCCTTATCTGTACGACCTAAAGGTCAGCCTCCTGATTATCATACATTCATCAGTTCACTGGGAACATTTTTGTTTTGCCGCGTCTTTTGCTTCTCCTTAACTCCCTCGCCCCTGCACTGCTGCCTCACGGTTGCTCCTACAACATTTTCATGGGCCATTTCTTCTCTGGAAGTATCCAGCCTTCCGTCTTTTGCCCACCTTTCCCCTCTGACCTCACTGCTCATCTCCACCAGCTTCTGCCTATTGCTCTCTCTTCCCCCTTCACTTGCCCTACAAAATTAAAATTTTGTCTCTCTTTATTGGAAGAGCAATGCTGTATTACTCATCTCGCTCTAACCCAGGACAGCCAAGCTCTAGATTGCTATGACCACGAGGGTCTAGAAAGTGTGTGGCAAAGCAGAGACAGCTCACTTCCTGAGAATTTCTGCCTCCAGCTTCTTCTTTTTCTTCTTTTTCATCAGCAAGATGGGTTTAATTGCACTTCCAGACGTGCCTCCAGCTTCTTAAAGATTTTATTTATTTATTTGACAGAGAGAGACCACAGCAATAGAGGGAACACAAGCAGGGGGAGTGAAAAAGGGAGAAGCAGGCTCCCCCATGGAGCAGGGAGCCCAATCCCCGCAACCCTGGGATCATGACCAGAGCCAAAGTCAGACGCCCAATGACTGAGCCATCCAGGCGCCCTACCTCCAGTTTTTTAAAGCAACAACTTTCCCTCCCTCCTCCCTGGGCCTAGTTCTCAGATCTGTGATCACTGCTTATGCACTCACTAATTTGTATTCTACTTTCCTTTGATGTTCGTTCGTCAAACGTACAAACATCAATTTGATGTTTTGTAAGTCTTTTTCTCATCGTGAGACTTATCTTTAAAAACTGTATAATTCCATCATGTAGAGATGACATTACTGACAATCATTTCTCTAGCTTTGAACACTCAAAACATTTCCACCTTTTTTTTTAACTGGGGAAATTGGTTATAAGATACTTTTAAGCAATTTATGCTCTCTGTCAAGTCATTTTCTAACAGTTTAATTTTTTTATTTTTTTTAACCCTGAGGTCAAGAGTTACGTGTTATACTGACTGAGCCAGACAGGCACCCCCTATCAATTTATTTTCTGAAAGTAAATCCCTAGGAATATGCAAAATAGAGAAAAAGGAGCTTACATTTTTATCGCCCTTGATATATATTGTTACATTCCACACAGTTCTACAAATTCTCAGTGCCAACAAGAATGACTATTTCTCCAGTCTCATTTCTGTTGGGTTTTGTGTTTTCAAAGAATTTCCACATTTAGGGATGCAAACTGCACTTTGTTTTTATTCCCAATTCATGTCCTTGATTACTGCGATGGTTGAAAAGTTTGCCACTTACTCACAATTTGGATTTTCTCTTCTGTATACTGTCTGTGCTCTTGTGTATTTGTGATTAACTTCTTTTTCTTTTTTGGTCATTGTATGGTTTTACTGACACAAGTACGATGTGCACAGAAGCAGTCTGTTTTCTTCACTGTGCAGCCTGGGATTGGGCTGGGCGACTCAGGGCTGGGCTGCTCTTTGCACACTGTCTTTGTGGTTCTTGGAGACAACATTGTGAGCAATCTTTGCACAGGAAGATTTGTTGCACGTCTGCAGCCCATCAAGCTCCTCGACGCCCGTGGACTAGGAACTTCCAGAAGCCACGGGGTAGCACGTGCTTTGTTTTCTTGTTGCTCCCATAACCAGTGCTGAGCATCAAGAACTGGCCCTTGAATCTTCTATGGAACCTATTGTCAATGTCCCTGGGTTTCCAACCATTGTGCTTAATTTTGACCTATTGGTCTGATGGGTGCCAGATGAACTTCTTGGTCCTCTTTTTAACAATCTTGAGCTTCACCAGGGGTGCAAGGGCGGCCATAATGCCAAGGGGGAGACGGCTGCCAGTTCTGCAGGCAGCGCCGAGGAAGAGAGGTGACTGACTTCCCGATGGTCTTACTCACACACTTCAAAGAGTGCAGGTGTTGATCCTTGCTTGATCACATCTGCTACAATGATTTCCTCTAATCTCTTCTTTTTTAAAAAATATATACATTTTTTATTTATTTGAGAGCGAGAGAGAGAACAAGCAGAGGGAGCAGCAGAAGGAGAGGGAGAAGCAGGCTCTCCACTGTGCAAGGAGCCCTGCGATCATGACCCGAGCCAAAGGTCCCTAATCTCTTCTTTCTATATAGATTTTGTATATTTGCATATATTGTATATTTGTATGTTTGTAAATTTAACTATGTTCTAGCAGTCCAGTTGTTCCCTTATTGTTTATTGATTTACATTAGAAGGTAGTAGAAGAGGGATGCCTGGGTAGGCTCAGTCGTTGGGCGTCTGCCTTTGGCTCGGTCATGATTCCAGAGTCCTGGGATCAAGCCCCACATCGGGCTTCCTGCTCAGTGAGGAACCTGCTTCTCCCTCTGTCCGCTTCACCCCCCGTTCCCCGCTTATGTGTTCTCTCTCTCTCTTTGACAAATAAATAAATAAAATCTTAAAAAAGAAGAAGAAGATAATAGAAGATAGTTAGGACTGTAAGAATTGCTATTCTACCAGTCCTAGTCTTACTCCACCGCTCTGCAGATCTCACAACTCCCTAAGCCCTCTTCCCACCTGTAAGGGCCTGACCTCATGGCCAACGGCACGGAGTGCACAGGGTCTGAGGAGGATTAGATGACATAATACATAAAATGCCCCGACCCCCACAGGCATACTGCAACGGGCCAATATTTGGCCAGGATGCACCACAGTGGCCACACAGTGAGACACTGAAACACACTCATTCCGCTAGAAAGTGCATTTCTGTAAGGGAGTCACTCGTTGCCGGAAGAAAATCATAAGCATCATCAGGAAAGCAGGAAGCCTCAGTCCAGCTGCTCCACTGACGGCACGAGCCCTTTCAGCTATAGGTTAGGGAAATTTAAAATGAGCTCTCACACCCAGAGCCCTTTTCTCCAGCTCCAGGCACTGTCTCCTGGGCCCACTGAGCAGCACTCAGAGCCCACTGCCCTCTGTACTCTCTCACACCTGCCAGGCCAGCCCTAAGTAAAGCTCCTCCAGCATTTTCCCACCCCGTCATGCTGCACATCTGAAATATCCACTGTGATGGCCTCCAGCCACACAGAGATGCCCGGGCGATCCGAGATCTCCCCTGATGGGCACACTACCATTTGCAGTAGCTTTCCAGTTACAGACGTGCTTTGATCAGGAGTGACCAGCCTCTAACCCTATTTTCCCCATAGCTCTTTTATTTGTACTGCTTGATTTTGTGGAATCTAAGTTTGTTCAGGAATGGGTTAAGTGTTGGGCCCTTGTATGTACAGCTTTACACCCTCTTGCTCATACCTTCCATCCCAGCCTTGTTTGGGGGCACAATTCCACACAGGCTTCGGCCTGCCTGGCCATGCCTCTTCCCGGACCCCCACAGGGATCCTCTGATGAGGTGGGTGGGGGGTGCCTACAGGAGCGGGCTCAGCACTGGCTCATGTGCAACACAGAGGGGCAAGGCTGTTGCAACCCCTTGGGGCAGCCCTCTGCCAATGCTGGGTGGAACTCAATGGAGGAAGACTTACAAATGCTTCTCCCCTTCAGCCCTCAGACGGTCGGTTTGAGGCATATTCTCAGAAGTTGTTACCATTGGCATCGAAGCCCAGTTGTCCACAATGGGGACCCACACAACCAGCTTGGCTTGCCCTCCTTCCTTGGCCAGACTCCCTAGGCCTGCCCTCTTCCCCAGGAAGGCACCTGCACCCACGTC